GGGTGGGATGCTCTGAGGGTCAGTGTGGACTTGTTGGGCTAAAGGGCCTGATTCCACACTGTAGGAAATCTATGATATCTAATGCTATGCTGTTACGCCTCAACAAAGTTACTTGCTAGAGATCAAGACCTGTTATGTGCAAAGTCATTGCAAAACTTAAAGATTACATAAAAGTATGAAAAATCCACAGTCGTTTAGACCTGTTGACAGAAACCATTGGCCAAGTTTGTGTACTTAGCAAAAATTGCTATTTATTAAAAGTAAATAGACACTTTCTGCAAGTAAATACTTACCAACCAGTAACATATAACCCTGGTTAAAATCTAATCTCCTTATGAAACTCCTCCTGCACACACACACAGACACAAAAAATGAGTCATGATACAGGGTAATACTGGGAAGGCAGATCACTTCCCCTTGTTCACAAGATTCGCTGAGATGAGCCTTTTGGCTTGCAAGTTCCACTGCTCCTCAATCTTCCTTCTGCAGTACCTTCACTTGCTTGCAGGAGGCAAAGGTCAACTGGCTCACACTTCTAATGTCTTAGATTTATTGGTCAAGAGCCACAGCCTACAGAAACTAATGAGGGGAAATAAATTAACCTTCTGTTGGCTGAGGTGTCATTTACTCCTTTCCAGAGGTTTAATGTCTTCTGCTCATTCACATATTTCTTGACAGGCAGAGTGCTTATGTGAACTATAATACCATGAATTCTGGTGCAAAGTGCACTGTTCAGTGGCTCACCTCAGCAGGGGCTGCAAGTTCATGTGAAACAAGCACCATTTAATGCTCGTTTACACCTTATAAAGAGGTTCATTTTGACTGCAGCTGGGAACAGCTGGGGAAGTGTGTCTGACCTGTAGGGAGAATAAATATGGCACAGGAGAGCACAGAGTGTGTTCCAAGTTTCTCTAATGGAAGCCTTGTTGTAGGAGGTGGATTGGAGGACAAGGGGCCAGTGGGCCTCCAGACAGACATTGAGGAGACAGTAAACACAGATAACCATTAAGTCAATATCACCATCTAGCACTGAGGACTTTAGTGCGGAAATGAAAAGAGTTCCCCGACCTCACGAGTGGTCAAGAACTTGATATCACCTGTAGCAGTTTAGAAAGATCCCACACAAAAGAACTCACGGCCATCATTATCTTCATTGCAACCAACAGCACCTTCCTTCCCCTGGTCCAAAGACAAAGGTTTGCTAACAACTTTCATGAGTATTTCCTTATTAAAGAGAGATGTCACATACATGATTCCTTACTCAAGTTGACCTAAGAGAAAAGGTCCTTGAAGACTGTGGCTGCAGGCACACTCCTGTCTAGAGTCCCTCTTCCTTCTTCACCTGCAATCAGTTTATTCTCCTCTATGTTCCCTCTGTTCAAACTCCTTTCCACACTGTATGTCAATGAAGATTGTAACTGTCATGGCCAGACGGCATGATGAGAAATTAAAAAGGAAACTCAATGTTATTCTAACTTTTCATGTTTAAATTGTTTATTTTTAAAATGGGCAACTTTTCTGGATTCAAAATGGCTGAGGCTAATCATATGTTCATATTTCCAGAAGTTTCTGAGCCCACTGAATCATATAGATTCCAGCTAAAGGTGACACAAAGGACTTGGAAACAAAATGTCTGCCTCCATCCAATCTCTGGACAAAGGGAAAACCAATAATAATAAAACAAACACTTACATATAGTTACCTTACGATGGAAACTTTGATCTGGAGCCAAAGCCGCATTCTTAGCTTATTGATTGTCCAATTAGCCCTGTGAGATGGGTCTTCAGCACCTGAAAACCCCACCTTTGTCACATAATTGAAATTAGAGCTTGTTGAATTGCTTACGTACACAATTCTGGAATTCTAAGTCAGTTGCGGTTTAACCTCTGGAATAACAGGAGCTCTGGGCTGAGTTAGCAGCCGATCCTATATTACGGTCTTTAAATTGCTGATACGGTTTCCCGGCAAGAAGGAAAATGATTGGGCCAATCTCACTGAGAAAATTACTATTGGATACTGACATCCTTAACTGATCTTAATTCGTCTGGATTTACCAAAGCGTGTGATTTCCTCACCTGTTCTGCCTTCCTTAATTTTCTGAGTGCTTATGTACCTGGATGGAGTAGTGAAGAAATTCCCATGTGTCTGAATTTCCTTTTTGATAAAGCTTATCTTTGAGTTCAACGTAAAGGATTTTACTGAGTTTATTTCAAAAAATGAAATTGCAAAACCTGAGTCTCTCGCATTTCCTGCAACTCATCCCTCACACCCCCTCCCCGCCTTAACAACCAAAACAGAATCTCCCTCATCCTCATTTACCACCCCACAAACCTCCAGATCCAATGCATCATCCTCTGACACTTCCGCCATCTGCAATCTGACCCCATTACCAAAGACATTTTCCCTCCCCACCCTTATCTGCTTTCCGGAGGGACCACTCTCTCAGTGACTCCCTTGTCCGCTCCACACTCCCCACCAGCCCCGGCACTTTTCTCTGCAACCGCAGGAAGTGCTACACCTGCCCCCTCACCCCCATCCCAGGCCCCAAGAAGACTTTCCAAATCAAACAAATGTTCACCTGCACATCTGCTAATGTGGTATACTGTATCCGCTGTTCCCAATGTGGCCTCCTCTACATCAGGGAAACTAAGCGGAGGCTTGGGGACCGCTTTGTGGAACACCTATGCTTGGTTCACGACAAACGACTGCACCTCCCAGTCGCGAACCATTTCAACTCCCCCTCCCATTCCTTGGATGACATGTCCATCCTGGGCCTCCTGCAGTGCCACAACGATGCCACCCGAAGGTTGCAGGAACAGCAACTCATATTCCGCTTGGGAACCCTGCAGCCTAATGGTATCAATGTGGACTTCACAAGCTTCAAAATCTCCCCTCCCCCTACCGCATGCCAAAACCAGCCCAGCTGGTCCCCACCTCCCTAACCTGTCCTTCCTCCCACCTATCCACTCCTTCCACCTCAAGCCCCACCTCCATCTCCTACCTACTAGCATCATCCTGCCTCCTTGACCTGTCCGTCCTCCCTGAACTGACCTATCCCCACCTACACTCACCCTTACTGGCTCCATCCCCGCCTCTCTCCACCTATCTTCTCCTTTATCCATCTTCCATCCGCCTCCCCTTCTCTCTCTATTTATTACAGAATCCCCTTCCCCTCCCCCATTTCTGAAGAAGGGTCTAGACCCGAAACGTCAGCTTTCCTGCTCCTCTGATGCTGCTTGGCCTGCTGTGTTCATCCAGCTCCACACCTTGTTATCTTAGAACTACAAGGCATCTTTGTTTTTTCTTGGAAAGACAGCCAATAAGGAACATCAACTACTTGCAAAGGACAAAGGATGTAAAGAGAATGAAGTAATACACAGATAATCACAGTTCTTTAAAAATTCATTCATGGGATGTGGGTGTCCCTGACTGGTCAGCATTTATTGCCCAGCCCTATTTGACCTTAAGAAGGTGGTGTCCAGTTGCATTCCCAAACTGCTATAGTCCATGTGCTGTAGGTAGATCCACAATGCCCTTGGGGAGGGAATTCAAGGATTTTGACCCAGTGACAGTTAAGGAAAAGTGATATATTTCCAAGGCAGAATGGTGACTGGCCTGCAGATGGCAGTATTCCCAAGGATCTGCTATCCTTATCCTTCTATATTAAGTGGTCATGGGAAAGACAAAAATTTGCCAAAGATCCTTATACAGCACATTTCAAACCTGTAAGCACCACCGTCTCGAAGGACAGGGGCAATAGATACATGGGAACACTGCCATTTGCAAATTCCCTCCAAGCCACTCACCATCTGGACTTGGAAACGTATTGCGTGTCTACCCGCAGCACACAGACTGCAACAGCTCAAGAAGGCAGTTCAATACAACCTTTTCAAGGGCAACTAGGGTTGAGCAATCCAGCATTACCATTGTCCCAAGAAAGAAGTGTTTAAAAAAAAGTCAAAGTCTGCACGTCACACCAGCCCTGACTAAAGGTGGCTCGGGAATAGTTACAAATAGATTTCACAGGACCTGTCCATTAAGTCAGTGAAAGACCAATTGTTTGGACATTATGGTTCAATTTATGAGGCGAGTGAAGGCTTGCCTCACAAGAGATTGTCAATTACAACTGCGGCTCAAGGAATGGTAAGACAGGTAATCCTTAAATAGTGAATATAAGTACAGATGGATTCAGATCGGGGAACACATATTTTAGGAAAAATAATTAAAGGAGGTTCCTAAGGTGCTGAGCTACAAACAAAAATCTCACAGCTTCTGTTGCCTACAGATCTCAGACTTCTTAGACGTATGAATGGAATGTTAAAGAGAGGGTTAGCTAAAGCCATCCATGAGACCTGAGGGTCTAGACAGATCTGTTGCCTAGTATCTTAATGGGACTCGGGGCAAAACCAGTATAAGGACCAAAGTAACTCTATATGAGCTAATGACTGGAAAGGTGAGAAATTGTCAGAGGATGTTGTGAATGGTAGAGAGGAATTGGACCCTGAAGAGCTAGAATTAAACTGTTTGACAGAGCTGTCCAATCAGCTGCATGGACTGAGACAATAAAATCAAGAATCAGTAGATGGAAGTAGAGGTAGGAACAGAACAGGATGAGGTTCCCCCAAGTGGGGGATGAGGTATGACACCCCAGAAAAACAGGTTATGTGCCTAAGTTGTTGGAGCTTATAAGGTAATAATGATTAGTTATACTTGCATCTGGGTGGATAGGAAAGAGAAGAGCCATAGAAATCCTCATCATGACTGAACAAACTGCTTTCTGGAGTAATTATTCATGGGAATAAATTGAGCCATGTTAATTATGGTAGTGGCCAACCTATCTTTCCAGCTGGGTGGCAGGGATTTCAGAACTGAAAGTCAATACATTGGTAGTTGGATGTGTTGTGGGAATACTATTTGACTCTCCAATAACTCAAACAAATAAACGGTTACTGTACAATGGAACAGCTCACTACTGCACAAAGGGCAACTTAGCCTCATAGTGATATGCAATGGTTTTTAATACAGAAAAATTAGAAGAAGGAAGAACAAGTCATGAAGTTATTGTCCTGTGCTTAAAATTCATGAACTATATTACAATAGTGTGCAGATCCTCCACAGGTCAACCAACAACTGTGACATTGACAAGTAATTTCTGCAGCTTTCCATCACTGCCGCCACCCTCATTTATAACTGTACAGAAACATTTCAATACCAACTCCAAGAATGGGCTAAATGCCAAAGTGGTTTAGGAATAAGTTCAACAAAACTGGGAACGTTAACAGGACAGAAGCGGATCTGCACCCTGAAACCTACCATAACAATAACAAGTGCAGAAACCAGCCACGAAGGATCAGGGGATCAAGAACCAAAGGCAAAAGTAATTGACCCAACTTGACTTGCCACAAGGTCAGGACCAAATAAGGGACTAGTGTTGACAAATCATGATAAAATTTTATATGATAACGTACACCATGAGCTGGTAACCTGTCATTGTAAACATCTGCAATATTTCCTTGCCTGAGTGGCATCCAATTCAGACCTGGGATTTGTATGCAGCTTTGGTCAACCAAATTACCATACAGGAAGCTTGGACTAATGCTGAACTAATATTAGTTCTTTGGTGTTGCTGAGTTTTACAATATTCCATTTGAACTCAAATCACACAAGTATGTCAATCCCTCTAAGGGTACCCATGGAAACAGTGACCTTATGAATTTTACATGAGTATAGATGGTAAAGGCATCTCGCACATTTAAACAATGTGATTTATTTGTTAGTAAATTATGGTCAGTGTGTGCATTCTATGATCACTATTCTGAAACGTATACAATACCCGAATTACATTTAAAAGAGCTGAACTAACTGCATTCATACAGAACCAACTCCTGTTATCAAAACATCTTCAAGTGCCTTAGTTTGTAATATTTTACACAGTAACAGGTGTACATTTTAAAATTTTGTTATTGTGTTGAATTTGGAAACATATTTAACTGAGCAGTTGAATTTTTAATGCAACATGATAACTTTGTCAATATGTTTAAGAACATTTGTCTGATACATTGTTATTATTTTAAATACAAGCTATAATTCTGGATTCATTTTCTGTTTTTAAACTGCTGAAGTTGAAGTGACCAATGCAATAGATATTTATACTTCAAAAATATGCTAATGAAAGAGATATTTGATCATTGCATTAAGTACATAGGCTAGACTTATCATTTAGCAGGTCTTTAAAGACTTTATTCAACTTTTTTCACAATTAAATATTACGATGCTAAAAAATAAAAACGCTAGCCATTCTCAGTTATTTAATAACAGCACCTATTTCATATATGAGTTTTTGGCCCCAGTCTAACAATTCAAATTGAACATTTCCCAACAAAGTTATAAACTTCAAAATAAAATATCTGCAGAATAATACAGAAATTTGTAGCACAATTTTAAAAAACAGACTGCAATGCTGGGAGTGAAAATTAAAACCAGAAAGTAACCTTTAGTATTCATAAAATAGACAGATAACTTTTCAACATAACAGGAACAAATCAAAGAACCTCGAATGTAAAGAACCAAGGGTGCAAGAGATGCCACAAACTAGCCAGCTAATAAACAGTTATTGCATTGATTCACACAATATTGTAAAATCATGCAAATTAATTAAACCTTGACAAATGTCATTATACTGTTTTATCAAGGTTATTCAAAATATTAACATGTAATTGAATTTAGATTCATAAACATTTGAAACATTTTTATGTAAAATGTCATAAAAAATCTTGCGGCTAATACTGTAGGATTGAACATTTTTGCACTTCAGTGAACATATTTGTAGATCATGACTGAAATCAGATCAAACATTCAGGTATTTAGAGACTTGGCTCATTCGGAGGACCGAGTTTGCAAGTGTTGAAGTAGGACATCACTTGCTGAGGTAATTCAGCCAGTACGCTTTGTGCAAGAACTTCTTTGGGTGCCTGTTGAATGAAATGAGAATTTTATTACCTAGAATACAACAATTTCATGGAAAACAAACAGTTAATTATCATTAAACACAAATTTTTAATCTGCACTGTCTTTATAGAATTATACAACACAAGTCATTGAGCCCATTGTGACAGTTTGGAAGAACTGTGTAGTCCCACTCCCTGTTCTTCCAGCATAACCTTTCAATTTTTCTCTTTTAAGTATTTATTAAATTCGTTTTTGAAAGTTTCTTTGAAACTTTGAGTCATGAATAGGGGTCGGATAATTTCGGATTGTTTTCACTGGAAAGACAGAAGCTGAGGAGCAACCTGATAGAGGTCTATGAAATTATGAGAGGCACGGATAGGGTGGCTAGTGAGAGGCTTTTTATCAGGGTGGAAAGGTCAACTATAAAAGGGCACAGGTTCAAGGTGAAGGGGGAATGTTTAGGAGAGAAGTGTACAGAAAATTTTTCACAGAGGATGGTGGATGCCGGGATACACTGCCAGTACAGGTGGTGGAAGCAGGCATGTTAGCAATGTTTAAGACACATGGATGTGACAGCGCATGGGAAATAAGTAGCAGGTCTAAATAAGGACTGGGAATCAACACAGGCTTGGTGGGCTGAAGGGCCTGTTTCTATGTTGCATATTATATAAATGTATCGTATTGTATAAATCACTTGCATAATCTTTCCAGGCAGGGCATTCCAGCTCATAACTTGTTGCTTAAGAGAAAACTTGTCTTATCTCCGGTCCCTTTAGCCAATTATGTTAAACCTTCATCCTTTGGTTACTGATTCTCTTACCAGTGATAACAATTTCTATTTATTTTATACATATGATGTTGCAAGATGAAGTACACCTCACCCCCATCCCATTTAGAATAAACTATATTTGTTAGAATGGATGGATATTTTAGTTCTTTGCTCACCAGCCAGTGATTTAACTGAATGGTCAGGAAATTATATTCTGATGAGCTTAGAAACAAAAACTTCTAACCAATGACTTCTGTACATATGGGCAGGCTGAACTTAATTATCTTGACAAGTTGACTTCTTTCATATTCTACCAAATCAGAACACAAACACTGACTGACGTTCCTTCTTTCCATTGTTATCTGGGTGAAACTGGAACAAATATGGAACATGAATGGACAATGGATGCACAGTGTAAAGAGGGAACACCACCGAATTTCCAACTGGAAGGGACAGATGATGCTCACTATATATGCTCTGATACAAGTGGTCATATTGAAATTTTCAACCAAAATGATGCATCACCAATGTTCTTTTTTCCATCAATGGGTTGTTTGCCGTGGCATCCAGCAATGCTATGGCAACAGAATGAGGCAAGTTCAATTTCAAAAACTGGAAATCTTAAGTAGTTTCCTGGTTCAAAACTGTTAAAAAAGTCTTATCAACAGACTACTGCAAATATATCTTCACTCTTTCTGCTGTTGGGTACTTGGTGGAAACCCAAGTATCTTCTAAAATTATTTCAATGACCCATGTCCGTAAGATTAACTGAGGTCAGAGCATACCTTGTGGTGCTACTTTTGCTTTCCAATACCAAAAATATACCTCAATTCCACACGTGGAAAATCTGAGCCATACTGTTCTACTTCTATGGTTATTAAAAGAAATTTTTGTTCAATGATTCGCTGCAGGAACAGAATTGCATCTTTTCTGAGTTTCATGCACATTTTTCAACCTCATAGTAAACGTCTGTTTTTGAACTTCTAACATACATAATCTGGTGCAATCAACTTATTGTGCTAGTTTGTTACGAACCATTCAAAGATACCACGATGTAAACAATTTTCGCCTCAATGATTTGATGTTATCCTGTTCACTGGCATTTAAGAACAATCCCTTTATCAGCTATATTTCATTCGTAACTCAAACTTTACTACATGGCCGTGATACACTATAATTACACTGTCCACGCGAGGTGGGTTTTCTTTTTAAAAATATATTATTTAATAGTAGAAGTAACTGAAACAAAATCCTTTCCTTTTACACAAACAGGCATGTTTAAATGGATCCCCTAGATACAAATACTTCCAGCTTCGTTGCTTGTATCTTATATCATGCCATCTAATAGTTAGAGACATAAGAAAGAAAATCTTAAGATCCGCTTCTTTCTACATCCCAAGAAATCCCAGCTGCACAGTATAATTTTCTTAATTCAATAATTTTCACCTTTACCAGTTACACTTAAAATCTTTGTGAATATGATTAAAGATTTTACAAAACTTCATAGATTTGTCTAGTCCAACACTAGTTTATTTCAAAGTTGTGAAGCCAAGATTCATAAATATATAATTGGTGTAGTGTTACACACTTACATTTTGAAACTTTCTAAATGGCACAAACTGGACAATATCCCGGATTGCCACTTCTCCAGTCGGTGATCTGAGAACACCATTATCGCCATCCAGAAATTCCATGGTACTAAAATCTGCTCCACCAACACCAATAATAATGATGGACATTGGCAACTTAGAAGCATTCACAATGGCCTGTCTTGTTTCATCTAAATCTGTTATCACGCCATCTGTGACGATCAACAGGATGAAATATTGCTGCCAAAATAATAATCCCAGAATAAATAGTTAATTAAAATCACATACAGCAAATGGACTAACTTGTTAAGATCTAATACAAAGCATAGCTTAAGGGACAGTTTGGTTACAAAGATAATAAAACAGCTGGATGGAGATTATTTCATACAACAACCACCACATGTGTGTTCAAATTGATTTTATTATCTTTGTTGAGCTTTGTATTCTAACTCATTTTATTTAAAAATCAGATGTCACTAATGTAATATGGTAACATGTTCATTAGGTATCTAAATGGTAAATCATGAATGTATAACTAAAACACTAGTTTAAAATATTGAGAACTTTCAGAGATTGCCAACTATTTCAGCAGTTACTTGACATTTGTAAATAAAAACATGCCCAATCCTTCACATCAAAACTACAAAGAAGGTCAAGAGTTATTCTGGCCTCACAAATGCATTTCCTAATATGGAACACAGTCACACAGGCTAAAGTAAGACTATTTGAAAAATTAATGATTGATATTTAAATGCACATTAGTAACTCTAGAATAGACAAAATGTAGCTATGAATAGCAAATCTAAGCAAGGCTACAAGTATGATGAGATATGTAGTCAATTCTATGGGAACCTAGCCAAGAATGGAAGTTAAACAACAACCTTCACAAAGCTAAGTAATACCTTTGATGTGATAAGGGAGCAGGCAAGAAGGTGAAATGGACAGTTACAGACAGCGCCAACAATGATAACATTTCACAGGGTTAATGAGAACATGTAAGGGACATCTACAGTATCGGCCTGTTTATTGCTAAAGATATGTGATGTAAATGCTATGACAGTTGATGACAAGTGAACTATAAAATACTGTAGCAAAAGATGCGAGTTAAGACTTTAAAATTGTCATGTTGACCGACGTGGGAGAAAGCTTGGTGGACTTTGTAACCAAGTGTGTCTCCAGCATATCCTTAAATAATGGCTCTAGTGACTGGATTAAGACTCAAAAGATGCTTTTAAATTACCACAACATTGGGCAAGAAGGTTCCAAGTTCAATATATCTACACTGGAAATTAAGCCAGAATTATCCACCAAGAAATGAGGGTAAAAGCAAGTTCATTCTCCTAACCATCAAGAACTATATGAAAAATGAGCAGTCAGGGACAAATCAGAATTGACTATTATTTATGTAATAAAATACAAAAAACATATAATGGAAACACAGGTCAGAAAGCATCTGTGAATAAAAACAGAAAAACCAGAGTTCTGAAGAGTCGTACAGGATTTGAAATATTAACTGTTTCTCTCTTCAAAGATGCTGCCAGACCTGCTGATTTTGTCCAGTATTCTGTTTGTTTCAGATTTCCAGCATCTGCAGTATTTTGCTTTTATTTCAGGTACTGAGGCTATTCCCTGTTAATGAAACTACACGCAGTAAAAAGCCATATCTTCAGCAAAACAAAAATATTTAATTAGGACTCTTTGACCTCCCAAAATAGTAATTTTGAATTTTAATCATTCTGTCCATGTCCTACACATTTATTCCTTTGTTATCAACAGCTTTTTAAATTCTAAACAGTTGCGTTACCACTGTCCATTCAAATTTTGCATATACGATTCTCACAGACATAATGGTATAAATGAGCTACTTCCTGTCAAAGCTACTTTAAGTGGGTGCAAATGTAGATATAAACGCACTTACTGAAGCTTTATGCTGTTGTGCTGCTACAGCTGCAAATCTTCCCACATGGTTTATTATTGGAGAGAAGTTTGTGGGTCCATATAACCTGACTTGAGAAAGGCAGTTGCGGTAGGCATCAGCTACACCCTGGACTCCTACAGAATCCAATTAGTGACAAAGTATCAAACAATGAGTTTGTTAAGACCCCGTATGATGCTAGATTCAGGACACTGACCCCACTGTGCTTTATCATGAGGGATTCATCATGAGCTGGTTGTTACTTAAACAATCATAAAATAACTAAACACATACGTGAAATGCAATGGAATACAATAATAGAGAACAATGGAGGCTGAGCTGTTGAAAATAGTCTAGGCCAAGTTCAACAGATAGTTGATCCATAAGGGAGTCACGGTCATGTAGAGGTTGGCAGGAAAGTGGTGTTAAGGCCACAATTAGATCAATCATGACTTTACCATATTGCGAAGTAAGCTTCAAGGCTCAAATAGCCTATTCTTGCCCCTACTTAACAAGATCTCATAATAAGGAACAGCAGGACATATATAACTTTTTAGAAATTGAGAGGGTTCCTTTCACATGACAACAAAGTATTCTTTTCCTCCATTTGTTCACAGAATGTGGGGGTTGCTGACTAAGAGCATTTATTACCCATTCATAATTGCCCTCAGTGAGCTACATAATGTCACATTAACAGCTCGACATTTTAACTGGAAGTGTAGTAACCGCACTCTTCCCTACTGCATCACCCGTGTGAAGTTATATTACAAAATAAACAGATGTTTCATACCTCCACAAAATGGGTTTTCAGGGTTGAAGTTAAGTGGAAACTCATGTGATACCTACAGGAAAAATGCCACTGTATGGAATGAATTGTATACACAAATAAGGTATATGAATACATCTATTTTACAAATTGTCTATTGTTACCTGCCAGGTTGGAGGTATTTGTGCACCGAATCCAAATGCTGGAAATAACTTGTCTCTGTAAATATACAACGATAACTAGACATATGCATGTAAATTACTAATAATTAAGGATGAATTACCACAGCAGTGACTCATAATAAATAACTCTAGAAATTAATAACCACCTGTGGTACGCAAACTATGGTATGTTAGTTTTCAAGGTAATCCTGGCCTATATGGTCATTCTACAAACTGCCCACCATTATAGCCTATGTCTTATGGCTGGCAAAGATAGATTTTTAATGGCAATAGAAAGAAAAACTGTTTAACTAGATTTCACCATTATCACAAAAGCACAGGCCAACATAAAATCTCAAGCCTCACAAGATTCTGGTTTAGTGTTATATTTCGACAAAGAACTTTCAAAATAAATCTGACTAGCACTAGACAGGTACTGGAAATAATATCATTCCTATAGTTATAAATATGTATCATAAAGCTTTTATTTTCATATGGAAACTGAGATTTTATATTGGGTTTTTCAGGAGACATTGAAATAGAACATTAAATTCACAAAAGATAAATGAATGCATTACGAATCATAGTCTTGAATGATTATCCCAATAGACCAGATGGCCATCAGGTATTCATTAAATCCATTAGGATTTATAAAATGTAGAGAGTTGGGTGTACGTGGATCTCCATTAGATGCAGTGAAGTCAATTCCGACCTGCAATTTAGAAACATAAAACATTTGTGAATATTATTGGAGAGAAATGTGGAATGCAGACACTTGGTTTAATGTCAATCCAAACAAATTTGATTTAAGTAACGTAAGAACATTTATGGTCAGATTTATGGATGTATTCACCAATATCTGTAATTTTTAAAAATTATAAATAATGATCAATGTTTTTCTATTCAACATTAATGTTGAAGAAAAAAAATGGATGTTAATTTACCAATTGTTTTGCTGGAAAACTTGGACCAACACTGCTATAAATGGAGATTCATGCTGTATTTATTACGGGTAATTTACCCTTTCAGTAAGCCTCTTGCTTGGGAGATAAATTTACTTACAGATTAATTTTTATGACATTGTATCATACAGAAAAGAAAGTCCCGGCAGAATAAAGAGCTGGTCCCCAAAAGGCAGGGTACACAGAAATAAAAGACCAAAAATATAAAAGTCATTTGAAAAAAAAAGTAATAATGCTACTCTAATAGCAGCTCACATTCTTTCAAATATCAATTGGATTTGTATATGATATGTAATCAATTTTACTTAAAGAATTAGAACAGACAAAGCAGTGACCAACTTCACATGTTTTGATTTCATCAATGAGGATGCTTTACTCACAGTAAAGTTCAGCTGACAGCCACCTGTGATATAATCCAAGAAAGTGTACTCTTTCACAATCTGCAAATTAAACAGTGCTTTAGTTCTTTCAAAAATGTCGTCTTATTTCAGGTTTTCTGGAGCATTTGAGTACTATAGGAAGTCAGCACCTTTACAGGGCATTTTAAGTCCTACTTCTCCCATGCACTAACATGCAAAAAAATTACGCTAGATTTTGCAAGTTGAAAATAAATCTGGGTTTTATTAAAGCGTACACACATTTATCCATGTTTCCAGGGAGACAAAAGACTTATTTATTTATACAGCTGTGAAATTTGTTCATCCGCTTTTCCAGTTACAAATAATCAATCCAAACTTTCCAGGTATCCATTCAAGATTTACAAGCCTGTTGTGTTAAATCTAGGACCTAGCGCAACAAAAATAGAAAAGTGCTGGAAAAATTCTGGTGGTCTGTCAGCATCAACAGAGAGAAAAAAACAGAATTAACATTGAGTCCGGTGACAAAAACTTCTCTAGGACCATCCCCTAATGCTATCAGACTCTTTCCATTTCCACATTGCTCTAATAATAAATATCTAGGAATCCACAGTGGTTAGATGAGGATTCCCAGAAGTACGTTACAAGTAATACCCATAAGGGTTTGTATCAATATACGAGACTGCTATTTGGGGTATCGTCAGCAGACGATGGAGAACACTTTACAAGGTCTACCTCAGATCACCATTTATCTGGATGACATGCTAATAACAGAGAAAATGAATAAGGAGCACTTAGAGAACTTGGACATAGTCCTTAGACCTTAGGTTCTCCTAGACAGGCGTATGCTTTAGAAGTGAAAAATGTGTGCTCCATTGGGCTACAGGATCAACAAGACCAGATTATATTTGTTGGAAAATAAAGTGAGGGTGATCAAAGGTGCCCTGGCTCCCAGGTCTGTACCGGAGCTTAGGTATTTGCTTGGGCTGAGGAATTATTACGGCAAGTTCATACATAACCTGGCATCCGACCTGGCACCATTGCATCAACTCCTAATAATGGGTCAGCTTTGGAGATGGTCACATAGCCAAGTCATAGCTTTCAGAGAAGGGAAGAAACACCTATCATGTCTAAGGCGTTGGCAAACTATTATCCCAAGTGAAATCTGGTATTGACATGCCTATACGGCAACAGGGTAGGTTTAGTTCATAGGTGGCCCAATGGAAAGGAACGCTCGATAGCGTATGCATCCAAACTTTGGCTAATGCAGGGTGTAATTATCCCCAGATGGAAAAGGACGGTGTGGCAGTCATACTTGGAATCAAGAAGTTCCACCAATACCTTTAAGGATGTAAATTCATAATAATAAAGGATCACAAACCCCTGCTAGGTCTACTTAAAGAGGACAAGGCAGTGCAACCCATAGCTTCATGCTGAATTCAGCGGTGGGCTCTAACACTACGTGCCCATAATTACAAGTTGGAACACCATCTGGGAAGCCAGGTGGCAATTGCAGATGCAGTGAGCCACCTCCCACTGGCAGATACACCACGTGTGGTATAGCCACTGGGAGACTCTGTAATGGTCTTAAGTTTTCTGGACACACGTCCAGTCACAGCTGATAATATCAGACTTTGGACGCAGAAAGATCCGGTCCTGGCAAAACAGAAACAGCTGATGATGATGGCAGAAACCATAGGACCGTCATTCCAGAACTGCAACTCTTTTGGACCAGAGAGACCAGATCACAGTAAAGGACGGCATATTATTATGGGGGAGCAAGAGTGATCGTTCTGAGCAAAGGTCGCCGCAGATACTGGCTGAACTCTACCAGGGTCATCCAGGGTTTCCAAAATGAAGATGTGGGCAGGAGGTTATGTCTGGATTGGCCGCAGACATAGCTGTGTTGGTGGGGCAGTGCCCAGGGTGCCAACAAGGACAAAAATTACCGCCAGCAGCTTCCCCACATTGGTGGGAATGGCTAGGTAAACCCTGGACTCGGTTACACATTGACAATGCAGGTCTTTTCATGGGCTAAATGTTCTTAATCATTGCGGACACCCAGTCACAGTGGGCAAACATGCATAGAGTTCATTCGTCAAACACGGGGATGATGATAGAAAATCTATGCTCAGCTTTTGCAACGCATGGGCTCCCAGAAGTGTTGGTCACAGATAATGGGCCATCGTGTACCAGCAGAGAATTTCAGTATTTCCTAAAGTCGATTGCTGTGTGATATACAAGAACAGCTCCATACCATTCATCATCTGATAGTCTGGCAGAAAGAGCAATTCAAACTTTGAAACCGGGCTTAAAGAAGCAGCCTACAGCTTCATGAGATACCAAATTGTCCCAGTTCCTATTTAATTATAGGACCACCCCTCATGCAACTACAGGAATAGCTCCAACAGTGTGGCTAATGGGGAGAAGCCTCCGCACTGGGTTAAATCTAATCTTTCCAGACCTCGGGGAATGCCAATGCTGGAAACAAGACTCTGCTAAGCGAGAGAAACAATTTATTTCAAGGGATGAAGTTTGGTATAGGAACCACAGGAACTGCCCTGCATAGGTAAGGGTCACAGTCAAATCCAGTGACGTATAAAGTTTGGGTGGGTGCCTCAGTCCAGAACAAGCATGTGGGCCACATGAAAGCTGTAAACTTGCAAATGGTGCGGGACTAATGTGCCCGGCTCCTCTACTGCCTTTCCAACTGTTCCAGAACCTGTAGGTTCACCCTCTCTGTCGACTGCTAAAGATACCTTGTAATCTGAGATGGACACAGAAGATGTTGCCACCCCGATGCCTTTGCCACCTGAAGGGGAGAATGAACTTTGTCCGAGATGCTCCAGGCACAAGAGGCGAGCTACTGTGTGTTACATACTGCCTGTTTCAGAGGCAGTGTTAAAACGCCCCAAAAAAAAAACAAAAACAGAGCCAGCCCATATCTTCAAATCAGAAGGACATAGTGATTGTAATGAGGACAATCAGGTGGACCGCACAGAATGAGTTCCCCCTGATTGGGGTTGTTAATCTGGTCCAATCAGGGAGCCCTGGCTGACAGATGAGAACAGGAGCATCAGACATCCTGTTCACTCATAGCTGGCTCTGTAGGAGCTGGATCAGTGTCAAGGACTCTCTGTGCACAAATAAAGGGTGACTTAGTGATGGGATACCAGCCTCTGTGGAGTTATTTCACCTACAGCCTCGCATTATGTAAAATTCTTAAAATTTCAAAACATTTTATCTTACCGCTTAGCAGCAAAACAAGCTATCAGTTTCTAAAATGCTTCCTCTGTATTTGCGGTCAAAAAACAGAACAATTAGGCCATTAAATTCACCATCACTCTTCTGGTGCAAATTGCAGTCACAAAGCAAACTGCTGATAGCTGGGCCTTGTCACTTCAAGTATGAGAGAGGATTCTCCAAGCATTTCATGCATTATTCCTGTCACTCCTACGTATTGTCCTATTGTAATGTTCAGCTTCAAAAAGATGGAACTGGGCAATAAACTTTTAAATTTTTTTTAAGAATCAAAAAAGTCTATTTCCAACAGCCATGAACCATGAAGAAATGGGGATGCAGTGGATGAGAAACTGAATGACTGGAGAACGAGCCACAGATTACAGCATGAGTTCTGAATAGGTCAGAGGCCTGACACAGAGATTGCGGGTGTGTAGCCGTAGGCTCAAAACATCAACAGGGAAGACAGTGGCAGAAGTGGGGATGGTTAGGCAGGGTAGGCCAAAGTTCAAAACATCAAAGGGGCAGAAATGAATCTCCCAAATCTGAACAAAGACAGTCAACAGGAAAGGTATAGATTAAGCATCAGCAGCAGATGAGCTTTTGGGGAGAGTTTTTCTCCTGTTTCTTGGAGCTATATCTAGGGCTCAGAAAGGGACCAGGGTAGAACTGTTCGGTGGCTTTGGAGAGACGTGGGCTGCAACGGCCAGTCATGTGGAAAGTGCTCTCATTCTCTACATGTCCCCTCATGGTCCTTCAACTCATCACCTCGCTGTCATCCCACCCTTTGTCTTTCTTCCTATCTTACATTTTTTTTCCTCCTTTCTTCTTGTCTCTTTCTTTCCTGCATTCCCTTCTTCTGGCAAACATTTGCCCACTTTCCTTCACTCTTTGCTGTCGCAATCCAATATATTCTTATAGCCCCTCGGCCCAATTCACTACTTGCATCAGTCAATCCTCACAACAGGCCTATGGCACGTGCTTCAGTGGTTTCCAGTACTGAGTTGGGAGGCAGCAATTCAGTTTTTAAAAACAGAGGATGCATTGGTTTAGTGGCAACACCACTGGACTAATAATCCACATGTCCAGATTAATGCACCGAGGTCATGGGCTCAATTGTCAATATGGTAGCTGGTAGAATTTAAACTCAGTTAAAAATATCTGTAATTAAAAGCTCAATAATGGTGCCATGAAACTATCACTAAGTGTGGTTTAAACAAAAAGGTCACTAATGTTCTTTACTGAAGGAAATCTGCCAAGCCTACCAGATTTGACCTGCATGGGACTCCAATTCCAATGTGGTCGATTCTTAATTGCCCACTGAATGAGCCACTCTATTCAAGGGCAATTCAGAATGGGCAACAGTACTGGCCTTGCCAGCAATGCACCACATCTTGTGAAAGAATGAAGAATAAAACATCCATTTAATGTATTTGCCAAATAGACTGGTTGTCAGCATTAAAAACTAAGCTGCTGACTCAATGCTGCAAAGTGTGCAAAGATATAGGAACAACAAACAGAGCTACTGAGACTTCAAGTATAAATGAACAAACTGAGAATAATGTGTGTGACACAACAGAAAGCAAGAAAGGAGAGGAGAGAGAGCAAGAGCGTGTCGGAGACAATGAAACAGAAATAAATAGATGAGAAAGAAGGAAACTAAAATAACACTAAAACAAATTACTATTGTAATCAGGATAAAACAACTCAGAATTAGATAAAGATCAACATTTCCTACCTGGCATAATTTAAAACTCACTATTCCCGAGTTTTTGTAATTTTTCTTTTTCTGTTTCTTCTTTGGATTAATACACTCAAACTCTGCCTACAAGAGAAACACCATGAACTATGTGGCGTTAAATCATAAGATGAAATTATAACAGGCTTTATGATCAAACACATTTAAAGTTGAAATCATCACTGCAATAAGACCATAAGAGCAGCATTAGGCCATTCAGCCCATTGAGCCTGTTCCACCATTCAAGCATGGCTGATATGTTTCTTAACCCCATTCTCCTGCCTTCTCTCTGTAACCCATGATCCCTTTCCTAATCAAGAACATATCTACCTCTGTCTTAAATACTTTCAATGACTTGGCCTCCACAAGCATCTGCAGAAATAAGTTCCACAGATTAACTACCCTCTGGATGAAGAAATTTCTCCTCATCTCTGTTCCAAAAGATCATCCCTTCACTGAGACTGTGCCCTTGGCTCCTAGTCTCTCCTTTTAGTAGAAACATCTTCTCCACATCCACTCTATCCAGGCCTCTCAGTATTCTATAAGTTTCAATCAGATCTCCCCTTATCCTTCCAAACTCCATTGAGTACAGACCCAGAGTCCTCAATTGTTCCTCGTATGACATGCCCTTCATTCCCAGGATCATTCTTGTCAACCTCCCCTGGACCTCCTCCAATGCCAGCACATCCTTCCTTAGATTATGGGGCGCAAAATTGCTTACAATATTCCAAATGCAGCCTTTTCCAGCCTCAGCAGTACATCTCTGGTCTTGTATTCTAGATTTAGATTTTATTATCACGTGCACTTGAATACAGGAGTACGGTGAAAAGTGTACAAAGTCGCTATTCTCTGGCGCCATCTTAGTATACAAAAGGCAGGATTTAAAACAGAAGCAGAAATAAAAGAAACAGCCAAAAGAAAACAACCAGATCACACCCCCACTCCTGCCATGAGTCCTTGCTGTCAGAGAAACAAAGTTCGTAAAGTCCATCCCTCAGTCTGCGAACACTCAGGTACCTCAAATCCCCACATGCCGCTGCAACACCACCGCCTCTGTTGTCAGTACCCAGGCCCCAGCCCTGGTCTAGAACCACACCCCTGCTGCTGAAACCATGTTGCCATTCTTCAGCACCATCTTGCCTCCACCGAAGTCGTTGCCATGAGTCTGTACTGGGCCAGTGCCTCCTTCTGGCTTACGTTGCTGCTGCTGACCCCACCTGGGCCTACCCCTCTTGAAATGAATGCTAACATTGCATTTGCCTTCCTAACCGCCTATTGAAACTGCATGTTAACCTTAAGAGAATCCTGAATTCGGACTCCCCAGCCTCTTTGTGCTTCAGATTTCTGAAGCCTCTCCCCATTTAGAAGATAGTCTATGCCTCTATTCTTCCAATCAAAGTCACATTTTCCCACATTGTATTCCATCTGCCAATTCCTTGACCACTCTCCTAGTCTGTTCAAGTCCTTCTGCAGCCTCCCACTTCCTCAACACAACTTGCCCCTCCATCTACCTTTGTGTCACCTGCAAATTTAGCACCAGTGCCCTCAGTTTCTTTGTCCAGATTGTTAATGTATAACATGAACAATTGTGGTCCCAACTGACCCCTGCGGAACTCCAATAAGCACCAGCTGCCACCCTACTCTCTGCATTGTGCCAGTCAGCCAATCCTTTAGCCATGCAGGTACCTTGCCCCAAACTCCTTGGGCTCCTATGTCATTTATCAACCTCCCGTGTGGCGCCTTATCAATCATAGGCAAAGATCAATAACACTAATTTACTGCAAGGTAATGACTGCCAATGTGACCTTAAACACAATTACAACCTCAGAAAACTCTCCTAAAGTTAGAAACAAAAAGTAAGCTGTTAGGCAGGCGTGCGGCAACAGTCTGTTACATAGTTTTGGAAAAGGTTTCTTCTTCTTTCTCCTGCTCTGCACACGTACTCCAACAATAGACAGTATTTATATTGCACCTTTAATTCAGTCTCTCAACATGCTTCGCAGAAGTGTTATAAAACAAATTTGTCACCTGTCACGTAAGGTGAGATGATCAAAATGTAGTCAAAATGGTAGGTGTTAGCGTGTGTACTGAAAGATGGGAGAGATTTGAACAGGAAAAGAGATTTGTGGAGGAAATCCCACAGCTTAGTCATTTGTTGGCTAAAGAAACAAGATAGAATAATTAAAATCTGGGATATGCAACAGGCCAGAATTGGAGGAGAACAAGATCTTGGAGGATTTTAAGATTGGAAGAGATTATTGGGATAAGAACAAGGAAGGTTGTGGTGGGGATTTGAAAACGTGGATCAAAACAATAAAAATGATCCAGTGACTAAGTTGAATCCAAAGTAGCTGAGCTGATACAGGGCTGATGGGTGAATGGGTCTTGATAGTTAGGATGAGGGCTAGAGTTTTAGATCAGCTCAAGTTTATGAAGGGGGAATGATGGGTGACAGTCAGGACACCACTGGAATAATTAATTGTAAAGGTAACAAAGGCATAGATGAAGATTTCAGCAACAAACTGAGTTGTGCACAATGGTGTTGACTGTTATTATGGAGGGGGAAATAGCAGGTCCTAAAGTTAAATTGGACGTGTGCTCATCTTGGTGCTAAATATAACATCAATCCCAGTCTTGATCTGCCTCAAAGCTCCCAAGGGGAAGGAGGTATTTGGTGACTATGGAATGGATTTTGTGGGTGAGTTTTAAGACAACGACTTCAGCCTGCTCAATATTTATTTGGAGCACATTTCTCCTCATTCAGTACAAGATGTCAGACAAAGTGTGTAGCAAATTAGAGACAAGGGAGTAATTGAGAGAATAAAGTGTTTTCTTTCTCATTCACGAGGTGTGGGCATCATTGGCCATCATTTAACCTCCAGTCCGAATTGCCCTAATTGGAGAAAGAACTGATGAGCCACCTTCTTGAACCACTGCCGTCCTTGGGACCCAGGGACAGTAGAGTTAGGGAGTTCCACAATGTTGATCCAGTGACATTTAAGGAATGGAGATATAATTTCAAGTCATGATGATGTGTGGCTTGGAGGAGAGCTTATAGTTGGTAGTGGTCCCATGTTCTGTTGCCCTTCTCTTTCAAGATGATAGAGAAGGTAGATTTGGAGGGCTTTATTCAAGGAGCGTTAGTGAGCTACTTTAGTGCATCCTGTAAATAGAACACACATCAGCAATTGGATGCCCGTGATAACACGTTGAAGCAGAGAATGGGCTGCTAATCAAGCAGGTTACTTCCTCCTTGATGGTGTCAAGCTTCTTGAGTATTGTTGGAGCAGCAGTAATCCAGGCAATGGTGAGTAATCCATCATATTCTTGAACTGTGCCTTGTAGATGGTGGATGGGATTTAGGGAGTCAGGACATTAGTTACTCACTTCAGAATGCTTAGCCTCTTGTAGCCACAGTATTTAAATAGCTGGCCCAGTTCAGTTTCTGATCAATGGTACCCCTCCAGGATGTTGATCATGGAAGAGATTCAGTGATAGTAACGTGATTGAACAGAGAGGAGATGTTAAAATTTTTTGTTGCTGGATATGGTTGTTGCCTGACACTTGTATAGTAAGAACGTTACCTGATACCTTGAGGCCTGAATTTTGTCCAAATCTTGCTGCATTTGCACCCAAACTACTTCAGTATCTGATAAGTCATAAAAGGTGCTGAATATTGTGCAAGAATCAGAGAACATCCCCACTTCTGACCTTACAAGAGATGGAATGTCATTGATGAAGGAACTGAAGATATGTGAGCTAGGAAATCCTACAGATTATTTTTTTGGGACTGAGATGACTGGCCTTTAAAACCATCTTCCTTTGTAGTTTTCCCCATGATTCCCATTGGTTTTAGATTTGCTAGAGCTCCTTGACGCCACAGTCAGACAAATGCTGTATTGCTGTCAAGTGAAGTCACTCTCGCCTCACTCTGGAGTTCAACTCTGACGGTGAGGTAGAACGAAGTACTGGCAGCATGAATATATGCAACCTGAAGTTGTGTTTTTGGATAACATTGGCTAAGGGCAGCATGCAAGTACTGTAAGTGAGGAATAGAAATCAAGAATGAGTGCATTGGGGGTACTCTAGAGATAACAATGTGGCTAAGAAGTCATTGCAGATAATTCTCGGGCCATGAATCGATTTAAAAAAGAATGGATCCAAGCAAATACAGTTACAATCCAGCTGGAAAATGGCATGATCTGTGGTCAACCATGCCAAATACTGTAGATTGGTTGAGAAGAATAATGAAGGATAGTTTACCATGGCCACAGTTACACAAGGCATAATTTGTGACTTTTATAAAGTAAGTTTCAGTGCTGGAAACCTGATTGAAGGCATTGAAATATAGAGCTATGATAAAGATGGGCACAGATTTGGTAATCAATGATACTATCAAGCAAATAGAGCGAGGTCTTGGGGGTAGGAGTCGAGGTTGGATTTTATTTTATGGGGACCTTTGACAGTTTGCACCAAATTTGAATATAACTGAGACTGATCTGTTAATAATATCAGCTGTGCCGGGGGCCAGTATGGGAAGATGGATGATCAGTGATTTAGTGGGAAAATAATTAAGGAAGCAGGTGGTGGGTGCCACGGACTCAGCATGACCACCTGTCCTGGATTTTCCAGAATTTTCACTGATATTTGTGTCCACGCTTAAACACCTCAAGGTGCCCTGCAAACTGGATTCTGCCCAGAAACTACTCAGTGCATTCCTATGTGCACAGTGCACTCAGCCACAAGGGAGAAGCAGCAATGATGGCATAATGCCTCCCCCATCCAACTCTTACCAAAACCCTCCAAAACTCCATCACCACGCACCTCCCACTCTCCTTGAAACATCCCACCATTTCTATCAGGACACACACACACACATAAACCCGCCTCACCTATTTCACTGTGCCAACAAACCCTGCACCCCTGCCCTCCAGTTTTGCCTGCACCCTTGCAAAATGTACCTATTCTTTTCCCCTCCAGATCTGCTCACCCTGTAGGTACAAGTAGAGCATGAGAGTAGATACAGAGAATGATGCAGGTTCAGGACTAGAACAGGGGCAACCTTAGGAGAAACCTGAACCAGGGTCCATGGAAATGAAAGGAAATGAAGAAATCAAATGGCTTCTCTAGAGGATGTGCACGTTCATATTATCCCATTTCTTACTCTTCTTGATCACTGATATACCTGCAGCTAATTCAACAGTGCTAATAACAGGACAGTGAAGAATATGTAGTCAAAATTCTGGTGTTATCCTTTTCCACACAACATACAGAACTAATTGCCACATCTAGTATATCCTCAACCATAAATAAAAATCAGATCTGATCAACAGAAAGATTACAGTTACATACAATGTTATTTGTGGCTATAAAAAATATAGAACTATCAAAGTAAACAACTAAAATACCAAATCAGTGTACAGACGTGCCACAGTGTCAGCAGGACAGACTTCTCACCCACAATTTCACAGTTCATACTCTCAGCAGTCTAGCTAAATCACATGCAAGTATTCAAAAATCACTGAATGCATCATTATTTCTTCTATCCTTTAACCTGCCACACCCGCAAGTGGAATTTCAGTTGGAGGTATTTCTCTTTTATGTTGTGCATAAGCCATGTTTGACTGCATCTACAAAAAAAAAACTGCACTTATACAGAGCTTTTAAAGGACTGGCCAAAGTGCTATACTATAGCATTAGCAAATGTGATGCAAAGCCATATGGAGAGATACTAGGTCAAGTTGTCCAAAGGTACATCACTGAAATAGGATGGGTATTGTCATTGCAGCCAAACAAATTAGCAATAATGTGAGAATTTAAACAATTTATTAAAATGTAATTTTGTTAAGTGTTGCAAGAACCTTCATCAGATATAATTCACGGTGACACAGTGGCTAGCACTGTTGCCTCACAGCTTTGGGTGACTGCGTGCGTGGAGTATGTTTGTTCTCCCTGTCTCTGTATGGATTTATGGCGGGTGCTCCAGTTTCCCCTCACAGGTTAGGTGGATCGGCCGTGCTAATTTACCCTGTTCAGGGATGTGCAGGCTAGGCTGATAAGCCATGGTAAATGCAGGGGTTACGGGATAGAGTGGGTGGGCGTGAATCTGGGTGGGATGCCCTTCGAATGGTTGGTGCAGACTCGATAGGCTACATGGCTTCTATCTGCTCTGTAGGAATTCTGTGAATTCCACAAAATCACAGTAAACACAGGTATGTTCAACATTTAAAGTTATTTGAAAATGTAGGCACTATTATAATGTAAGCATTAGAGTAAAATAAAACATGTCAAACATCTTTATGTACCTGGTGGAAGCCCTTGCTTGAGGCAAAAATTGTACCAGTGTACCTAATTTTCAACAATTAATGTTCAAAAATTGGGTGTACTTCAATATCCAAGTTATATTCCTGGTGTGAAAACTTCTCCAGTTAATGCAACAAATCTTAAAGTTACTCCTTTAGAGCACTGTAGCTGTAGAAGTAACTAGAGATATTGCAATTTATACCTGAACTGAAATAACAATAATAATGGACCCAAACTACAAGATAGTTACTAATACATCTAGGTTAAAGTATATTTTCTTAGGGAGTGGTTAGAACACGGAAACTCACTACTACTGGAAGCCATTGAGGTAAATATAGATTAATGCTTTCAAAAGGAGATCAGACCAGTATATGTGAGAGAAGAAATGTAAAATGTTGAGATGAAGTAGGTAGAATGGGAGGAAACCTGTGATGAGCAGAGGCTTGTGGTTGAGTGAATGGCTGTTTCTAATCCAACACATTCTATACAATTTAATTCATAAACCTACCGGTGAATTGTAGGATGCTTCCAGTAGTTTAGTCATATTAGTCTCAAATATACCAATTAGATCATGTGATCCATCATTGTCATAGTCATAACAATCCACCTGAAAAAGATTAAAATTACATTTTGTTGAGACCAGTAAAATTGCTATTTTCAAGTTGCTACACTCTGCTACCTTTAATTGTCAGTATTAAAGAGCCTATTGCCATTGATAGATGCAACTTTCCTCCATGCATTACCCTCTTGCTGAAGTATTGCTTTTGTATAATTCTCAGTGCAAAATTGCAAAGGCTTTGAGCAACCCAACAAGCTGCAAGATAAATCATCATTTTTAAATATTGGAATTATCACATCGACAATAGCTGATATCTCAGGTGTAACTGCATTTAAATGATGAAGTTTGAGGAGTAAAAGACTGCGTTTGTGCAAATTGGTCATGAAGTGTCATCAGCATTTGGAACTTGAGCTCCTTAAACAATCTTATTCTTACGTATCAGTATTATGGAACAGATGCTATACTAGCATTCATATGGAAACGTTGGTTAATGTGTTTTTATTTAATCACTCATGGGCGTCACTGACTGGACCAGCATTTATTGCCTGTCCCAGTTGCTCTTGAGAAAGTGGTGGTGAGCTGTCTTCTTGAATCACTGCAGTCCATGTGATGTAGGTAGACCCACAATGCTGTTAGAGAAATAATTCTGGGATTTTGACCCTGAGACAGTGAAGGAACAGTGATGCACATCTCAGTCAAGACAATGAGTGGGTTCGAGGAAAACTTGCAGGTAGAGTTGTTCCCATGTATATGCTGCCCTTGTCCTTCTAGTTGAAAGTGGTTGTGGGCTTGGAAGGTGCTGCCTAAGGATCTTTGGTTAATTTCTGCAGTGCATTTTGTAGACAGTATACAGTGCTGCTACCGAGTATCGGTGATGAAAGGAGTGGACGTTTGTGGATGTGTTGCCAATCAAGCGGGCTGCTTTGTCTCTGTTAGTGTCAAGCCTCGTGTGTTGTTGGAGCTGTGCCCATCCAGGCAAGTGGGGAGTATTTCATCACACTCCTGACTTGTGCCTTGTAGACGGTGGAAAGGCTTTGGGGATACAGGAGGTGAGATACTCACTACAGTACTCCTAGCCTCTGACCCCCAGTCTTCTAACCTCTGTATTTATTGAGCAAGTCAAATTGAGTTTCTGGTCAATGGCAACCCCCTGGATGTTGATAGTGGGGGTCTCAGTGATAGTAACACCATTGAATATCAAGTGGCGGTGGTTAGATCTTCTCGTATTGGAGTTGGGCATTGCCTGCCATTTGTATGGCATGAATGTTACATGCCACTTGTCAGCCCAAATCTGGATATTGTCCAGATCTTGCTGCACTTGAACATGGACTGCTTCAGCGTCTGAGGAGTCGTGAATGGTGCTCACCAGTGAACATTCTCACTTCTGAACTTATGATGGAGGGAAGATCAATCAATAAGCAGCTGAAGATAGTTGGGCCAGGACACTATCCTGAGGAACTAATCAGTACATAAGACAATTAAATATACTAAATATTTCCCACACTTCCCTTTTAACGTCAATATTCTTAAGAAAATGTGGAAAGTACTTATTTCCTCTTCAATATATAGATAAATGTAAAGTACCTTGATAGATCTCTCCAAGTCCCCATTACACAGAGACCGCAAAGGAATTCTAAATGGTTTCCAACTTGGATTCAGGTTATTCTTTATAACCTGAAAAATAAAGTAGAAAATATAATAATATCACAAAAGTATTACTTTAATTTTTTTTAGAAACCCTTCATAATCCCTTGTGGGAACCACATTATAGAAAAGTTGTGAACACATTGAAGACAGTGCAGAAGCTATTTACAAGAACAGTTCCAGATTTGAGAAACTTCAATTATGAGAATAGCTTGAAGCAATAGGGACTGTTCTCCCTGGAAGGAAGATGATTGAGAGGAGATCTGATAGATATTTTCAAAATACAGATAGAGATAGGGCTAGATACAGTAGATAGCGAGAAGCTGTTCCCACTTGTAAAAGAAAAAAGAATGACAGGGCATAGATTTAAAGAGATGTGCAAACAAAGTAAGGGTGATGTGACAGAATAACTTTTTCACATTGCGAGTACTCAAGATGTGGAGTGCACTGCCTGGAAATGTGGTAGGAGCAGGTTCAATTGAGACCTTCAAGAGGTGGTGTGCACGGAGATGGTGAAGAGGCAGGAGATCAGTACCAGGTAATCAAACCCATGCAGACACATTGTGCTGAATGCCTTCTTCTGCATCATTACAATTCTGATCTGTTCAGGAGTTCAAACAGATTATGCCACTGATTTTGTGCAAACAAGTTGACGTACACTGGAGTATGATCTGATCCTGGAATAAAGCTGATTAAAGAATATATTTTATCTGAAATAAATGGTATCACATTTACTGTTATTATGAACACTGATTCCTGGTTAAACAAGTGAAATGTTAAATACATGAAACTATAATTTTCTTTCAAAGTCTCAAACCACTACTTGAAATGATCAATTCTACTTTTGCATTGTCACAGTTACTTGACTAATATTAACAGCGAACACCGGTACGTTTAGTTTGACTGGACTCACGTTTCAGTAAATTTATAGATTTGAGGAGCAGCATCCTAATTTGCCATTGTGACACTACCACAATGAGGTGGTTGAACTGCTCGCTGAGCTGGCTTGTTTTCATTCAGACGTTTTGTCACCGTGCTAAGTAACATCAAAAGAGGGGCCATAACCTCACCCATAACCTCAGCTACAAATCTTTGCTAAAACTTTGTACTACCACAATAATTGGGAAATATTGACCTTTATACTGTACCTTCACTCATTTTAAAAGCTACATAATTTCTAACACAATGTGCTGTTTTATTGAATGATACTGCTGCAGTTACATTTGAAAAGATCAGTGAATTTGTTTAAATCGAGTCAAAGGATTAAATGAGTGACCTCTTATTTTTAAAGAGTAACCACAAGTATTTGATCTTCCCATCCTCTCCATATTCAACCAGTTAGTTAAAATGACTTGCTTGTACAAGGAAAGTAGACATTAGCTTATACGAAACAAGAGCCAACATGTTTGCATCAGGTCTTCAAATTCTAACTCTTACCTCTGTTCGATGCACCATTTGCCATCTTCGATCTTCAGTCTGTTTATAGAATTCTAAGTATGGATCTGACTTCCCGAAGAAATCCTGATCACCACCAGCACAATGGAACAAATAACATTATTATTACCAGATTGAAAATTTGAACAGACAATCACCGAACAAATAATACTGTTCTGCGGCTCATAAAACCCAGAAATAAAAAACAAAACTTATATTGGTGCGGTTGTTGACTTGCTTACTGGTAAGTTTGTTCGCAGATGTTTCGTGACCGTATAGACCACATCATAAGTGCAGCTCCTGTGAAGAGTCGGTATTCTGTCCCTTGCTATTTGTGTGTCTCGGTTTACTGAGGCGGGTGGCATCACTTCCAGATTTGTTTCTTAGTGGTGGGTATATGGGGACCAGCTCTACATGTTTGTTAATAGAGTTCCAGTCATTTCAATACACATGGACAAAGAGGGACACCATAGTCATCCTAGAAAAACCAAGCAAAGACATGTGCGAGAACTCCCGGACGCCTGGCACTCAAACCAGAACTCAATTAACAAACATGCAGAGCTGGGCCCCATATATTAACCACGAAGAAACAAGTCCAGAAGTGATGCCACCTACCCTAGCAACTGAGACACAAAAATAGCAAGCGGGACAGAACACTGACACTTCACCGGAGGCACATTGACGCTGTTACCTGGTATGGTTATGAAATGTCTGCGAACAAACTTACCAGCTCGGCAAGCAAGTCAACAACCACATCACCTACCCAAGCTATAAATCTTCTCAAAAACCCTAAACTTATGTCGGTGTTAATCTGAAATAGAAAGTGGAATGAAAGTGTTGACAGAATGATTTTGACAGAACCATTGGGGAATCTTCACCCACCTTATTATCCAGATTCCGTGCTTGAGCTTCAAAGTTTACCACCCGGCTATCCTTCACTTCCTCTGCAAAAATCTTAGGCATGAAAATAAAGAACAGAATAGGAATCAATTAAAAACCAAGATGATCAAATAACTTATGCTTCAAATGCACAAATCAGAAGCATTGCTCCAAAAATCAGAAAGAGTTCAGGATCAACCATTCCTATGCTTGCAGAGAGCACAGGGCAAATGCCTTGCCCCACAATGATGAGGTCCAAAATGCCTGTGATGTTGAGCACTGGATAATGTTGCAATGGAAACACAATAGCAATACAATCTGCTGAAGAAGAATGGAAAAGGTGGGTAAGAAACGAGCTACTGTTAGTGTGGCAGAGGTTTCAGTAAAGTTGTTTTGTGAGACTGATTGGGAATACAGCAATGTCATGTGGGCCTGGCAGGACTTGGAATAACAGAGGTTTGTGATCTCTGGGCCTGGGATGTACAGGGATAGCAGTGGCCATCAACAGGGCCCTTTAATGTGCAGTGGGGAAGTGCATTGCTGTTTCTTTCAGATTTGCATTCACTTAAGTACTCTATTAGCTAAACAAAAATCTGGAATAGCCGATAAGAGAGAGC